GGGCGCCCCCAGTTAGCGTCGCTGCTGCGGCTGGGCAGCGGTGACAACAATCCCCGCGTAACGCCCCGCGCTTGGGGCTTGGCCAACCGCGCTCGCACGCGTGACACCGGCCCGTTGACCCTCAGAACGGAGACGGGAGCGGGCCATCCGAGCCGGGTACGCTCGTTTTACGGAAGCGAAGCCCGATTCAGAGACGGTGGGCAGCTTCCTCAAAAGCCCAGCCTGTCCGTGGTGACGTCAGGTTCAGTGACAATCAACGACTCCATAGGAAAGGGGTAAGCCTGCAGGACCTGGCTCCCTGCCTGCCCCAGCGGGTTATCATCAGTCAGTATCACCCTGCCTGTTTAGATGGTCTCAGCAAAGGAGAACCTCTGCTATTTAACAATCACACACACAGTTTTTGGAAAAGACAAAAAAAAAAAAAAAAAAATTCTAGGAGAAAATAGAAATCACCTATAATCCATCCAGAAGTAACTTCTGTTAACATTTCGGTATATTTATTTCAGTGCATAGATAGATATTTTTAATGGTTTACTCTTCATACTATCTTGAAACCTACTTTATTTTAGCTTAATATTTTGCAAGCAGTCCCACACCACTAAAAAGTGTCAACAGCATCATTTTGGTGGCTGCATAGTAGTCCATTGTGCAGTTGTGCCATAAATTAGAATCAATTAGTGTTAGAGCTGTCTAGAGATAGGTTGTTTCTTTTTTATTATTAAAATTACAATGTTGTGATTACTATGATGAACTTTAGTGTAGATAATCCTTTGCTCTAGTATTTCTTATTTGCTTAGAGTAAATATTAGAGAATATTGTGTCAGGTCAAGGGGGAATTTCCAGTTTTGTCAAAATTACCTTCAAGGAGGTGTCCTCAATCTATAATCCTACCTGTTTCCAACACTCCTGCCGACACAAACTGTTGTCTAACTTTTCCATTTTCATCCGTCCAAGAGGTTAAAAAGAATGTCATCACGGTAAGTCTTTGATCTCCCCTTGGAAGTAGTTATGCCAATTGGCAGCCCCACCAGCTATGTGTTTCTTTTCTCCATGACCTTCACCACACTAAATATTTAATTAGGAAATATTTAAACATGCAAAAGAAAGTATAGAAAATAATTGAATGGAACACATCTGTATACAATCTATTCTTTTTTTTTTTTTTTTTTTTTTTTTTTTTTTTCCGTGTCCAGCAACGGATCG